TGCTCAAGAATCAATGAATACTTGAATTAAAAAGCAAGAAAATAAATTAACTACARAACCTCACAATGACACAATCGAACCTCCCCCCTTGAACCAGAAAAAGAAGTTTAGCTGCTCATGATCTGCGAAACCTCCATGCCTTGCTTCTCCATAGCCGAACTGCTTTCTTGAGCTTCTTGGTCTTCTTGATGATCTCTTGGATCTAGGAATGAGTGATGCTAGAACTGGTTCGCCCCCCTCTTTATATAGCCCAAGGAGAGGATTGTTTTCCAACTCCTTCTAGGAGATCATCTTATCTTTAGGGAGTCTTGATCCTCTTTGAACTAATCCTATCATATCTCTTATCTAATGATTTAATCTCAATCTTATTATCTCTCTAGGATTACATTCAAGACGTTAGATCTGATAAGACTCTCTCTTTAGAGATTACATTCGAGATTTGGACTCTTAACTCTTGAATTCGAGTTGGGCTGCTTTAAAACTTGGGCTGCTTCAAGGTACTTCTGCGAGTTGGGCTTAAGTTGTGAAATGGGCTTGGCTGCGAACTTTCTCCAACTTCAAGTTCATTTTCGTACTCGATGCGGGCTGAATCTGTCAAAACCCAAAACATAAAAGTTGTGAGCCTTCCTTTCATCCTTCTAATGCTTCTTGAATTGTCCAAACTGTGCAAAATCACCCGATTTGCCCTGTTTTTTCTTTCAATTGCCTTCTTTATTGCCCTGAATCGAAATACAAGAGTAATGAGTTCATTTAAGTGCTAAATTGATATAAAAAGATGAAAGTTAGGGGACAAAAATAGGGTTTTTTTTCAGTCTCATCATCTTTATGAAAACTACAATACAAATTTTTATTTCTAACAATAGGGTCTGCCTTCAGCCGAGGTGGCCACTTCACATACGAAGCGTCCTTGATCGCCATGAGGATCTCGGCCCGCTTCGCATTGAGGGGCGTGTAGTCCCTTTCTGCTGCTGGAGCTCAAAAAAGTTGATTTGGCTTTACCCCCCGAGCTTGGTCCTTCTTCTTCTTGGTATCGCCCTGAGTTGGGAGCTTTGGTTCCCTTTTCCTTTTCTCGATGGCTTGCTCGCCCTTCTGGTTGATCTCTTCCTCCATCCCTATAAACTGATCTGCGAGCTTGAGGAACTCGGTCACGGTCTTGGGCTGATTGACGACCACGTGCCACTTGAACTCTTTGTGGGTAATACCTCGCTTGGCTACGGTGAGGCGAACTGCAGGGTTCAGATCGGGTATCTGTAGACAAGCGTCATTAAACCACTTAAGGTAACTCCAAATGGACTCCCTTTCCTTTTGAACTATGCCGAGGAGGCTTTCTTGAGTTCTTGAGCACCTCTTGCTGGTGACAAAGTGGGAGGTGAAAACTTGCACGAACTGCGCTCAGCTTCTTATCGAACCGGGCGCGAGGTTTTGGTACCATGTGCAGGCTACCCCTTTAAAGGTGGTGGAGAAGGCCACGCACATCCAGGATTCACTGGCCCTTGCCAGGTGCATCTAGGACTGAAAGGTGTCCACATGATCATTCGGATTGAATGATCCATCATACTTGTCCAGTGGAGGGAGCTTGAAGTCCCTTGGCATGGGGACAACAAGAAGTTCTAGAGATAGTGGGGAAGGAACTGAGAGGAGAGGAGTAGCTTTTACTTCACCTGAGCTCACCTCCTCTTTACCTTTGAGCTCGGGCAAGACACGGGTAGCAGTTCGGCGAGCTCGTTGGCGTCTTCACTGCTGCTTTGTCGGCTCAGCGTTGGTGCTGCTTGCTTCAGTGTTACCGAGCTTGATGGGCTCGGACTGCGAGCGAGAGCTCGAGCTGCGAGTGCTGGGGCGATGCGGGCTTGGTTGGCTGGGAGGCCCCCGACCTGCCCACAGGCTGCGAGGCGGGGGTGGCTGGCCTCTCCTTTCTGCCATGGGAAGAGACTTGGCTCTTGGAGAGATCCTGGGCCTGAGAGGCTTCTCCCCGGCAAGGTCGTTCGCTCCGGCGGGAGGGCTTGGTTTGCTTTGTGGCCGGGTGCCTAGGGGGAAGCAGCTGCTGGGCCTGAGGCAAGGAAGGGAACTGCTACTGATACTGGTACTGAGAAACCTGATGCAACACTTGTTGCTAGTAGAGTTTGAACTGCTGGAACTGTTGCATTTGAGCTTGCATGGCTTGCCTGCACTGTACTAGGTCTTCCAACTAATTCCGGTTGGTCACTAGGGGCACAACCGAAGGTTCAGCAAAGGTTGCTCCAACCGTGGATGGGAGTGGAGCATTCACGGGTGCCACTGTGAAAGGCACGTTCAGGCTGGGGATCCTGTCCACAGCGAGGGGAATAGTGAATTGTCCGATACAAATAGTGGGAAGCTAGGGTTGCTCTCCAGAAGCGTTCTGGTTGGCACCACGTCCGGTGTTGCTGGAGGAGGCCAAGAATGCTAAGTTCTCAAAAGGAAAATGTAGAAACTTAGAGGAAGGCTTTTTTGAAGTGTTTCCCACAGACGGCGCGAAATGATGTTGCGCAATCCGGGCACTCCTAGCTGAAAACTTGCTGGCTCATTGCTGGCAACGGACAGTACCTGAGAAGAAGACGGTGAAGGATTCCCGAGGGACTTGCTCGGTGGGAATACTCCGATGCTTAAGTTAGAACGCTGGAGAAAGCAGTAAAGAGTGCAAAGAAGGCTAAGAGTGTAGGTCGCGCTAAATCACTGAGTTAGCTTGAGAGAAAGTTCGAGTAAGTTCAAGATATTCAAGATAAGATACTCAAGATGTTCGAGAGAGCCCTTTCCTTCAACTAGAGGGCTCTTAAATACGAGTGTTCTTGTCAAATCAGGCGTAACCGCCACTGGACCTCTATCGCAGCCGTTATCTGCCAGGCCTGTGCAGGTGACCGTTGTAGAGTACTACCCAATCGGATGAGTGACACGTCCCAGAAGGACAGACACGCCACCATCTGTCAAGAGACGTGGGCGTAGTCTTATCGGGATGACAGGGAATGCGTCGTCGGTCAGGAGACATGGTGCAATCTGGCGGGTACAGTCTTGTCAGATAGAAGCTTCCTGAAAACATCATGTCGCTTAGTAGTGAGCTATCTTGTAGCGAGCTATTCTGTCGCGAGCTACCTTGTGGCGAGCTATTCTGTCGCGAGCTACCTTGTAGCGAGCTCCTGAGGGTACTGCGAGGTGATTCCTCTTGAAGTGGCCCTTGAGGCAGTTTTTCTACCTAAGTATTGGAGCGAACTGGTTATCCTAGCTCGCGAGCTAGGGTAGACTTGTCTTGGAGTATTCCCTTTTAGTACATCGAAGGTCCTCTCTCCCTATGGTGAGATATGACATAGCGAGCTATCATGCGGGCTCGTTACTTAGTCGTGGTCAAGCTGTTGTGCTGAGTTGTTACTCGTGCTGAGTCATATCCACGTGTCACCGTCTCAAGGGGTCGGGTCAAATCACCCTCCATCAGGGTTTATGGGCTCTGATGTCAAAACTACTTTTCGCTCAAAGAGAGCCATTTTCAACCTTCCACGAGTGGAAGCTTGCTGGGGAGGATCCAACTCGCCTTGACTTACTAAGTTGGACTCAGTTCTCTTATTTGGTGAGATCTAGATGTTGTTCATGCACCGGAATCGAACAAAGGGATAGCAAAGAGACTTCTCTACTCTGAACTCTGACTTTTTTGCTAAGGAAAGATTTTTGAAGTTGTATCCTTGTGCACACTTTTCAAGTCCTCCACACAAGTTCCCAATAAGTTCGAAGATGGGTCTTGACCAGGGATGGAAGGGGAGATCTCTAACGGTTCAAGGGTTACCAAAGTAAAAGAATGAAATTTGGTACACAGTCCTCTCTCAACATCGTATCGATCAAGGTTGCTCTGTCTTTTAAAAACTGCCTCCTGCCTTCACAATGTCAGCCTTCTGGTTTGGACGGGGGGTGAAGTTAGGATCCCTCAAGCCCGAGGCCTTTGGGGAGTAAGGCTTTTTAATCAACAACTTCAAGGTCTTCAAGAAAGAATCCCAACTTAACCCAAAGTCCCCCTTCCAAGATGCAAATCCCCTAGCTCTCGCCTCACCCAAGAATCTAAACGAACATATCTACTTCGATTGTTCGATTTCAGTTGAAAAATCGTATGTCATCTTCCTCTAAACAGTTTCCTCAATGGTGAGGTATCCCTAGGGTTTTCAAGAAGTCTAGAAAGGAAAATTGAAAACTCTAAGAACTCATCTTCTCGCAGGGTCAAACAAGACTAGAAACCCCTACTCCTCTATAACAGTGAAGGAGAAACCGTCTCTTTAGTCTCAGAATCCTTCAAAGTCAATAGACTTTTCTTCTGTCAAAATGTTCCTTTCACTGAACGTGAGTCCATGATCATAAAAAATGAGAAGGTCGAAGCTTCGCCATTATCTTCTGATCAGGGATTGAATCGGAAGAGAGGGGCAAGTGACATGCTACAAATGGGAAGGAAAGTTGCAACTCTGTTATGGTTGCAGATTGTAGATCAAGGAGAGACTGAGTTAAATGAGGTCCAATGCACACCAAGGGCAAAACAGAGTTTTTTTGTCAAGTATTAAACGGGTCATGTGACATTACATGCGAACAGCATGTAACATTTTTCTAAGGGTATATTTTAGTCCAATGTGGTCACCTGACAAGGTATAGTCAAGCAACAAAAACAGGTGTAGAGAGGATGGATGTGGGGATTTTTTTGGGTTTGAAAGCAGTTATGTTATCACCAACTGTAATTAAATTTCCATGGAAAGAAAAAAGATGGTTCAACTAAAACAATGAAGCTTGATGATAGTTCCAAAAATTCATTGAGCTTGAATGCTATGAAAATGAAGTTTGATGGTATAGCATGAAATCAACTGATACATGCAATAATAATTAAGAAACACAGTTACAGGATCTAGTTTAAGCATCAGAATGAGAACTTGAATCCTCTTTAGGAGGTGCCAACTGCTTGCTTAGGCGAGACCTTGTCCAAGGATCCAAGGGGGCCCTCGGTGGTGGTTGAGGGGTTGCTGGTTTCGACTGCCTAAGTTCATTCTCTCTGTCTATGAACCTGCAGAAAACACAGAGGATGTACGAGATTGACATTTAATAATACAAGGTGAACCTGAAAAAGTTTCTACAAATTCTCCTTTATGAACCGGATTCTTCTATACTTGTAAAGAATACATCTTTTAAGTATGTCCTTTCATTTGGATAGCATCCCTCACAACAAAGGGAAAAAGAGATCATCTGCTTTATCCTACATTCTGCTTAAGTGGGATCTGTGGCATAAAAATGCAGTTATCCCGAAAAAAAAAAAAAAAAAAAAGTTTCCTTAATTTATTATAAACTTGATCAAATTGAACACCATTTCAAGTGACACAAGTTTCTAAACCTTAGGGTGCCAATTGGCTTGTTGGTAAAGCCTGTCTGTTATTGCAGAGACATGGGATTGAAACCCTCATTCACCAGGAATTGGGGGTTTCATGATTAGGGAGGCCGCCTACCCCCCAACCCCACCTCAGTTATGTAACCCATTTACCTACTAAATGAAAAATGTTTTTGTCTACAAAAATGTAGAATGCATGAATTGATAATACAACTAGTAAGTATAAATAGAAACTTACTCAATATAGGCCATTTCTGCAGCATCACCAACTCGTATTCGAGTTCGAAGTAGCCTTGTATACCCACCTGCTCTGTCTCTGTTGACACAATATAGCATACCTATGCTTACAAAGGCTATAAAAATACTAAAGATGGACAACTTGATTGCTGGAAGAATTACTTGTAGCGATATGCCAGTTCAGTAAATAGCTTGTGAAGGACATCATCCCCCCGCACAAAAGCAGCAGCACACCTGGCAGCACAAAGAGAACCCTACAGTAAATGGAAGAGGAAAATAAGCAGATGTCTTATTGATGAGTGCAAACTTTCTATTTGAAGCAGGTGAATGACAAATTTTAGTGAGAGTCCCACTACAATTTTTAAAGTAACCATAAACCAGGGCTAATACCAAAAATATCCAAGTTAGGGTCTTCAAAAAGAAAAGGGAAGCTATTACATTGTTTTCAAATTGATGTCTGTTTCTTACTCCCAGGGGTTGAGGCCTTGGTCAATTTGATCAGAGAAGTGAAAATGTCGGAATCCATGCTGAGCACTGCATTCCACTAGATTCAGAAAATGATGAACTCAGGGCTAATAGCCTAGCCAAGAAAGGTAGGAGGTGGCCTTAGTCACTTTGTTTGGGTTCTTTTCCAGCATATGGGTTATACTTGTATTGTTTGGTTTATTTCTTTAGACTCCTTTTTTTAGCCTTGCCAGCCCAGGATCCCTTTCTTGCTCCAAGGCCCTTTGTATTCTTCCTACTTTTCTTCCCATTTCAATATATCTTTTCTACTATCAATTATCAATAGAACAAAAAAAAATAACCACAATCATCATTTCCATGAGGGTAAACCTGGAGCACATTAGAGGCAAACATTCGACAACCTTTTGAAAAGGTCCCTAACCACAGAGGGGGAAGGGGGAGGGGGGGGTATTCCCAACACAATGTGCCCTCTACCACACCATTAGCAAGCCTGTGAGCCTGTCTACTAGAGCATTTCTCATCCAGAAAACCATGTGAATCAGATGCTCACGGTTTGATAATAATGATTAAACATTCAGGGAATCCCCTAACTAGTCTTTATCCATCCAAAGGGTGTTTTTGAGTCAACCTCCTCATTCTTCACCCTCGCAAATCCCAAAGCAACTGCAGTGACCCCTGAAAGTTTCATTTCTAATCACATTATCACAGCTTATTTGGCCCTGAGAAGACTAATGTGGTTCTCTCTTGCCTCTGAAATCCCAAAACACAAAGAGAACATCAATCAAAGTTCTTCAGACTTGAGAGTTGAGACTGTGCCACTTGCAGAAATATTTTTCTTTTTGTTTCTTTCTTCTTTTTGGGGGTGGGGGTGTAGGGCATAAAAGCCTGCTTCATCTATGCATCAAAGTCCATGCAATGATCTTATCCACTTAAAAGCCCCGAAACTCATCTCTGGCCAAAGATGCAATAAGCAGCCTTTGCAGTAATCAAATCCAAAATCACCTCTGGGGGGCTTCTAATTGATGAAGATGGTATTCAGTTACTCCCAGTCCCAGAAGGTTCATAACACTGCTGCATGTGTACATCTCCACATTATGTTCCCCCCCTTGGAGGGCATAGGATACTGGGTTTGAACAAGTTCAAGATATCAATATGGGGTCATCAATGGGACGAAAAAAATGGCAGAAGCACTTCCAAATCTTCAATGAAAAATCACAAGAGATGAAAAGAAGATGGATGGCATTTACCACTAGCATCACATAGATTGCAGAAGTGAGGATTTAATGTGTTACTATCCATGTACACCACCTCCTAACAAAGCAATCTTATGTTTGGTTTGACAGGATCAATACATACAGATTTACCTGGAAAATGCTAGGGAATTACAGTCTTTGCATCAAGAGAAAGGAAGAATGTAAAAATACTCCAGGGGGTCTAAGAGTTGAAATTCATATTCATATCTACAGGGTCAAGGAACACATAACTTAAAAGATCAAGGAGAACGATGGAGTCAACAATCTCATGATCTCTCAACCTCTACAAAAACCAAAATTTCAAGAGATGCCCAACAAAGACAAAGAAGCAATACATGAAATAAATAAGATTTTTAAGTAGGTAATGGATAAAGCCATTCAGAAAAAGAGGATGTGGTCATGTTGTAAATGTACAATGAATACATATGAATAATGCCATTCTAATTGATATAAAAGTAGGAAAAACTAGGATTACTAAATTCTAGCATAATGGAGAACCAGAAATAGACAATCAATTCCTCTTCCCTGATTAGAACCAGATCAGAGTACCTCTTGATTTTGAACATATGACCCCTGCATGGGCTCCAAGCCTCCAACAAATAGCAAAATGAGTCAAGTTTGAAAAGATATGTCCCTTTTTGTTAAGACCCTTCAAAGTCCTTGCATCAATAAGAGATGAAAGACTCCTGGAAGGCTGGAACAATCCAATTCTATTATAGCCCATTAAGCTTGACTAAATGGAGTGAATCCTCGAGGTAACATTCCTAAGGAAGAAGTTGATGTGATACCAATCCTTCCTTTGTCTGGAATATGGAGCATAGATTATCCAACTCTCTACCACTTGAAATTAAATTGTTAATAGCAACAGTTTTGTCAAGGTCAACCTATTAAATTGTTAATAGGAATTATTCTTGGGCTACGCTATAAATATGGCTCCTTTGTTCTTAGGCTACTGGACAAGGTGAAGGTCCTTCTTGTAAAGTAGCATACAGAAACGGCAATGGAACACAAAAGGACCATCAAAGGCTAGATGATAAGAAATGAAGCCACTCATCTCCTTCAACTAATTTGATCTCTAACACTAAACTAAAGTCCTCAGATTGTCCATAGAAATTGTGTGCAAAGAAATTCCTTTGTATCTTTTTACGAAAATTGTGTAAATTGAAGGCGGTTAGAAGCCTTAAAAATATACACGTGTCAAGTACAGACGACAAGCTTTACTGTTTCCAACATTCGACCCTGACCAACGTTCATGGATCCACCCTTCAGCTAATCAAGGGAGGGCTTATCCTCCTAAAGGTTATAAACCTTTTCAATTAAGAATCCTAATTCGATCTACCATTAAATTTTAATTGTAAAATGACCAACCAAATCATGCTCTATTGTGTTTTAATGAGAGAAAAAAATAAATAAATAAATAAATAATTAAAATAAAATATATAGTGCACAAACCTCCTTCCCAAGCTGCACCATGTTATCAGCAAGTCGCCTAATTTCTTTCGCCTGAAACGAATAGAAACCATCATAAGTATTGCTCAATCAAGCTCCCATACCGGCATGAAAGAAGATAAAACCTAGAAAAGCCATAAAGCTTCCAAATAAAGAACGTACTTTTGCAACCGTAGTTTCGATACGTTCATGTTTTACCAGCTGCGAAACCATTGTCCTACACAAATACTCAAAACCAGAAGTCTCAACATTCCACTAAAAAAAAAACTAACTTGAGATCCAAAGGATCAAACTGAACATTAATCGAATTTTATGTGATTGAAGACTAATCAAACCTGAGCATCGACATTCGATGCCCCGTAGGGCGGCCGAGCTTTCGGAACTTCGTCATGGCTAAAGAGAAGAATGAAATGAAGTTACAGACGAGACCAAGCAAATGCAAAACCCCTGCCACTAGGGGTTTGGGGGCACAAGAAACGGAGCCGGTCAGCGAAAATAAGCCGGTCGGGTTAGACTGGTCCGTTGTGGGTCGAGTAGGACATGAAAGTGAAACAAATATGGAGGCAGTTAAATAACGGATTTGGATTGGTCAGCGGTTCGACTCCGGTTCGGTTTTCTACTGGTAATTTCATTTCTCAATTGAAGTAAAGAACGAAGCTTTTTTCTTTATTCTACAGTCGCTTGCTTCCTTCTTGTTGGTAGCGGATCTAAACTCCTTGGAAGGCAGCAGAAGAAGGGAGGGAGGGAAACCCTAACGCTAGACTGCAGGCTCAATTTGATTACAAAGTAGGTGGAGGAAGAGACAGCAGCAGAAGAAAAGATGCTGGTTCTGATTTCTGCCTTAGGAAATTATATCACGCAAATGTTGCAGAACGTTTCAAGTATGAATGAATTCTGTGATAGAGTGAGTCGTTGATGGTATGACAGCAATTTTCTTGGCGTTAGAATATCGACCTGTTATTAGATACCAGCGAACCTTTGATGTTGCCAAAAAGGAATGCAGAGGAAATAGTAGTAACCAGTAAGGAAACTATGTAGAGACATGAAATAGAGGAATATGGTCTCTTTTTGTTTCAGAGTAACAGAATTTTCTCCTCTTTTGTTAGTCATTGATAGGAGAGACAGAGCTGTTAGCTCTTTTTGTTCTTCTTTATAAAGAGGTAGAACCTTGGCCAATGGCCATATATGTTTTAAATTTGAAATTGATGGATAATAATCCACTGAGCTTCTTTACAGGCGATGGTCCATGAGTTGATCGGCATTAATGAAAATAAAGCGCGCCTCAAAGTTCCGGAAGACTTGGCCAAATTTGTTGACAACTACCTGGAATAGTAAATACAGAAAGATTCATGTTATGATGGTTAGAAATAGGCAAGATAGTTGAAGAGGGAATTAAAGCTGTCACAAACAGAACAAGAGTTGGCCTGCAATGGCAGATAAGTTTCAGCCTTTGAGGTAATTTATTAACTGAAGTATCATATATTGATCTTCATTTCATTTTGATGTGCCGTATCTGCTTAATACAGGTAAAATGAAGCTTTAACCTGTTGTGTGGATTGGAGGTATACTGGTTACCCCACACCCTGATTCCATGAAATTGATCAAAATCCTGCCTATTGGAAGAGATTAAGCCCTTAACACTCACAATTAAGATATCCAAGAGAAAATGATCATTACCATGAAAATCGTCTCATGAGTTTCTTTAACAGAGTTAGATAATCTCCAAGGAGTGCAGTTCCTACTAGAAACCTGTCCAATAATGTTTTCTAGTTGGTCTTTGAACGTCCATGATTGAACAGTTTGTTATGTGCCTTAGGAGAACTCACCCCTAAAAGCTAGCTGTTAGAGGGAGGGAACCCAAGCACATATATACCCCACAACAGCATCCCGTTCTACCGATGTGGGATACCTCACATTAGCATCCCATACTACCAACATGGGACAAATGGATCGTAACACAGTTCTCGTAGTTGGTTTTGAATAAGGGTATCTTCATCTTTTCAGGACAATTTCTAAGTGGAGTTTAAATTAGCAACAAAAAAAAAAGTAAGGCATTATTTCTTGGACACTATTAAACATGGAGGCATCTCTTGATGCTGAACTTGTTTGAGGTGGCTCGACAAGGAGTTGTTTAATGCATTACTCTGTTTGGTGTAACTTACAATTTTAATGGCCAATACCGAAAGACATGTTACCTGGGCCTGAGGTTAGATTACCAATTTTCCATTAATGTTGCATTGGATGTTAGCTAGCCATTACAGACCATCATTGAGATATACAGAAGGACTAGGTTTCCAGAGTGGTTGATGAACAAGTGTCCTGTTGGACATATTTAACAGCAAAGTTGATATGGATAGTAAACAATATGGATGCGCACTAGAATAAGTCCACTTCAAACTGATTCTATTATGTCTTGATCTTGAAGATATGATAATATCAGTAAGGAATAAATGTATAAAAGATGAATCTTAATAAAGTCAGCCCTTTGTGAGAATCGTAAACCTTAATGGGTTAATCTAGTACTTTTTGTTTATACCAAAATCTGGTGAGGCTTTGGCTTTAAATATCAAGGTTTGTACATCATGTTTCCAGAGTTCCTAGTGTTACTTTACAGTTTACAACTTTGCCTTATAGAAGATAGTTCACAAATGAAGCTACTTTTAACCAGAGCAATGCAGCATCATTGGCCTTGTCCATCACAAGGATGCCAAACTACAAAGAGCACAAACATAAAAGGAATTGTTTGCACGTACAAGGAGTTAAGGGGGGCCTTTGGTTGTCTGTAAGGGATTTTGGAGGTCTGTGATGGCCACGACTGTGACACTAGCATCCACCTTTTGACCAAGTATGATCATAACTGCAACAACTTAAAGATGTGACTGAGGCCTAGGGGGCCTTTGGTTGTCTGTAGGGGATTTTGGCCAAGGCACTTGCATCAGTTAACCATACAGCTCCCTGAATCAGAGTTGTATCAGCCAATGTCCTAAAACAAGGCGATTTTTTAAGTTAGGAAACTGAAATTGGTACTTTGATTCAGTAGGCCATTATATATTTTTCCATGGTCACAAGTCACAAGATGGGTTTCTGTCAATCTAAATTATGTGGGTCAGTAAATACAGGTTCCTGAAGGACATGAAGAAACTTGAAGAACAGTTCAATCCAGCACAAAGAATGCAGTTTGAAGTTTTCATCCCACATCTAATGTCTTGAGAACCTTTGCGGTGTCTTTATTACTATGCTGTTATTTAATTGTTTTTATAAAGCATGCATGAAACTGAAAACTGGACAAATTCTCCTGGATACAACAAAAGAACAGTCCACTTTGATTCAGGACACGACCAAATTCACTGACCTACGTCTGAAAATGATCAGTGGGTTTTGATTCATTGATTATTTGTGCTGAAGCCCGTTTTTTGGTAATGTAAAAAAAAATCGTAAACATCAAGTTTTCTACATGACCAAATAATTATCTTTACTATTTTTCCTTTTATATGTAATCTTTTAATTGAAGAATTCTTGTCTTTGAAGCTTTCAGATGCGTTTTGTAATAATTTGTGCATTCTACATGGGCAAAGCTGGCTATTGGGATTTAATAGTAAAATGTTTCTGTGTTTACTTCTCAATGGAAAATCCTACTGAATTCTTAGGCAAATATTGAGAATTTTAATACGACATTTATCATCATAGGTATTACCTTTATTTACTTACTGCCATGTTTTGTGCTGTTTCGTATAATCGTTTAACAGAATGATGGAGTAAACAAATGAAAACATGCTCAATACGCTTTGCCCCCCGAAAATGTTTTCTTTCAAAATTTAAGACCTACTTCTAATCAAAGGGGGGAGATCAGTTGAGACAGCATTAGTTCAGCCCGAAGGCTCTTACCCACTTCGCACAAGGACTCAGTCCCATGTCTCCAGCCCTTACCAGCTAGGCTGGCTATGGAGTCTGAAACTTGCTGTAACCTTTTAATAATTTAATTCCATGCAAGGAATTTGTAAGTTACTACCGTAAGGAGAGAAGACAGCAATATTACATTTTGGGCCCATTTATAAGTCTGAGCATATTCATTTCGCATTTCGTGGAATTGAGCTGATGGAGTTAAATTCCATCTTAAGAGTTGAGGCTATGGAGGTCAACAGCTTTCAGAGTTCAAAATCAATGATTTGACTCAGCAATTCGAAGAATGGGGTACTTTTGTTGGGAGATGGGACTCTGAATTAGAGCTGCGAACGAATCGAATATTGGTAGATGTAAAGTTGCTTTGTTTATAATCAAGCTAGTGGAACTTGTGTGATGCAAAATTTTTGTTAAGTGAAAACTAAATAATACAAACACACGATAGTATACAGTATACAGTTGTTTTATATTTTAACATTTTAAATAATTAATAATTATTTATATTTTATATATTACTTTTAATAATTTTTTTACAATACAAAAATAACGATTATTTACTTTAGCTAGGGTTGTTCATCAAACCAATAAAACCAACCAACCCAATCCAACTCAGCCCAAGTTGGTCGGTTTCTAGTATTTCTGATCGGCATTGGTTCAACAATTTTTCAACCCAACCAGATTAGATCAATTCTGGTTTGGCTATTTGTAAACCGACCAAAACCAAATTGACTTGACCATAGATATATATTAATATTTTTATATTTTAAATATATTTTTTTAATAAGGGAAAGTAAAAATTTTCCCATATTTCCTAGTCTAAAATATTTTATATCGTAAATTTAGTTTTTAGTAATATCATTGTAATTTTTTAAATTTAAATTTAATTTTTTAAGTTTGAATATTTTGAACCGATCAACCAAACCAAAAATCAACCCAAACTAATACAACCTAACTACCTGAGTTGCAGGGGCGGAACTAGGGTTTTATGTTAGGGGGGTCAAATACTAATGAACATAGATTAAGGGATCCAAAAGTTACTAAAACAAGGGTGAGGGGTCAAATTATACGTGAGCCATCAATAGGGATTGTGGGGATTTTCAAAGCATAAGAGGGCCATCTCTCCCCTCTGCCCCTACTAAGTTGGCCAATTTTCACTAATGGCCAGTCAGTTTCAAGTGACCAACTCCGCAACCTAACCAGTTAGATTTGATTTTGCAAACAACTTGCAACCAAACCGAACCAACCTATGAACACTCCTAATTTTAGATAAATTAATAATCTAATCTCTAATAAATAAAAATAGTTTAATCTCCAATAATTATTCAAAATTTTATATTAAATGACAACACAAAAATAGATTTATAGATAATTATTGAAAATATATTTAGTACAAAAGCAATAAATATTTATTGAAAATACAATACATATTAATTATAGTATATATAAATATATCATAAATATAGATTACGATTTAAAAATTATTACTAACAAATATTAATTTTTCTAAAAGTTATTTTCTAGAATTATTAATTGATACAAGTGAAATTAGTTATTTACAAT